AAAAAAAAAAAAAAGAAGTGGAAGAGATACCAGGAGTGCACACACAGAGGAAGGGCCATTGAGGACACAGTGAGAAGGTGGCCATTTGCAAGCCAGGAAGCAAAGCCTCACCAGAAGTCAACCCTGCCAGCACCTTGGTCCCGGACTCCAGCCTCTAGAACTGTGAGGAGACCCGTTTCTGTTGCTGAAGCCACCTGGCTTGGGGTATTTTGTTATGGCAGCCCCGGGTAACACATGTACACCAGGGTCCAACTATAAGCATGATCAGAATGGTACTTCTTATTTTTCTAGCCCCCAAACTGGAAACATCCAAATTACCATCAACAATAGAACAGATAAGTAAATTGTGGTATATTCATACATGAAAAGAATACAGTCACACATAACACAAATGAATTTCACTATCATAATAGTAAGTGAAAGAAGCAAGATACAAAATAAGATAGAGTATATTCCCTTTATCTCAAGTCAAAAAGCAGGTAAGAATTTAGGGATGCATCTAGATTTAGAAAAATTACAAAGAAAGCAAGAAAATTATTGTTAGAAAAGTTAGGATAGTGGGTAAGGAAGACTTTGTGATCCCATTTCATGACCTAAGTAATGTTTTACAAGGTTAATTATTCATTCAACTACACATTCAAATAGGATGCCTTTTTCTCTATGTATAGATCAGATTTTACCATTTTAAAATTATAATATGCCATAAATAAGAGTAATCAAGCCCAGCAATTTTCTGTTTTTTCTCATGATGATTAGGTTGACAGCCTTCATATACTTCAACCTTTTATTTCTCTTTTTCTGGATGTCCCTAATTTTTTTTTTTTTTTTTTGAAACAACATCTCACTACGCTGCCCACACTGATCTCCAACTCCTGGCCTCAGGTGACCCTCCTGCCTTTGCCTCCCGAATTGCTGGGATTATAGGCATGAGCCACCGCACAGGGCTCCCCTGATTACGGATGCTGTAAGCATGTGCTTCTTTAGTCTGTCTGATAAATAATCCACCGCTAGATGCTGACATTTTTCCAAGCATTAGAGAAACAGCAGCAAACCAGCCACACGGGGTCCTCACCCTCAGGAAACTGACAGTCTAATTTAAATCCAAATACTGTCATAATCCATTTAATCCCACCTGTTGCATGGGACTGGTCCAAGAACCAAATGCCTGCCCTAATGTCTGGAACTCAGGAACTGTTCAACAAATAATATTAGTTCCATTCCACAGTCCAGGAAGGAATGGCAGATTTTGTTTCTAGTTCCATGATGGAAAAAACTCCGTATTTCTATGTATATCAAATTGCATTCTTCATTCCACTCAGAGCTTTTGTCAATCCAGGCTAAAAATGAACACTGAAAACAGAAATCAGTAAATTAGGGCCCAAATCCAGCCCAGCTCTTGTTTATGTTAGTAAAGTTTTACTAGAACACATGAACATCAATCCATTTAAATGTCATCTAGGGCTACTTTCATAGTATAGCGGCAGAGGTGAATGATTACAAGAGATGACGTGACACTTTACCAAAAAAGTTTGCCAACCCTTAATTTAGAGCTCTCTCACTTGAGAAGACACACAGTCAGAGTATTCATTCATTTGATGTACGTTGTTAAGCATATACTTTTACTACTATTCCACCACATACATGAACAACTGAATGATATACAATCTTTATTAAGAATTTTCAGGGCCGGGCGCGGTGGCTCAAGCCTGTAATCCCAGCACTTTGGGAGGCCGAGGCGGGTGGATCACGAGGTCAAGAGATCGAGACCATCCTGGTCAACATGGTGAAACCCCGCGTCTCTTCTAAATATATAAAAAATTAGCTGGGCATGGTGGCGCGTGCCTGTAATCCCAGCTACTCAGGAGGCTGAGGCAGGAGAATTGCCTGAACCCGGGAGGTGGAGGTTGCAGTGAGCCGAGATTGCGTCATTGCACTCCAGCCTGGGTAACAAGAGCGAAACTCCGTCCCAGGAAAAAAAAAAAAAAAAAGAATTTTCTTGGCCAGGAGCGGTAGCTCACACCTGTAATCCCAGCACTTTGGGAGGCCAAGGTGGGTGGATCACTTGAGGTCAGGAGTTCGAGACCAGCCTGACCAACATGGTGAATCCCATCTCTACTAAAAACACAAAAATTAGCTGGGCATAGTGGTGCATGCCTGTAGTCCCAGCTACTACAGGCTGAGGCCGGAAAATCGCTTGAACTCGGGAGTCAGAGGTTGCAATGAGCCAAGATGCACTGCACTTCAGCCTGGTGACAGAGTGAGACTCCGCCACAAAAAAAAAAAAAAAATTAGCCTGGTGTGGTGGCAGGTGCTTGTAATCCCAGCTAATCATGAGGCTGAGACAGGAGAATCACTTGAACCCAGGAGGCAGAGGTTGCAGTGAGCAGAGATAGCACCATTGTACTACAGCCTGGGCAACAGAACGAGAGTCCACCTCAAACAAAAAAAGAAGTTTCTATCAAGTGCAGGGAGGAAGTACAGTGTGTATAGAAATGGACCTGTACTCTAAAATCAATGTGTATTTTCCCATCTTCTATCACAGCTGTATATACTTTTTATTACATACCTTTACAGGAATTTTCTTATCAAAATCAGGGAAGTGAATTATTTTATTTAGCTTGGACACATATAGTATCATTATGGTGGCTGCCATCTGAAGAAAAGGGGAGAGAGAAACTTCAGCAAAATATCTGCAGATTGCTGGAGGTGAAATGACATTATCAGAAGAAAACACATTCATCAAAAGAAATATGGCAAAAAATTCATTTTCCAAGTTCCAGAAAAAATAACTATTTCTTAGAATATTAAAATTTTTTTTCTTGCTACAGTGCAGATTCCATCAGAAATCTAGGCAAAAAATGTAATGTTGGGCAGGGTGAGGTGGCTTACACCTATAATCCCAGCACTTTGGGAGGCTGAGGCGGGCAGATCACTTGAGGCTAGGAGTTTGAGACCAGCCTGGAGTTTGAGGCCAGTGACAAAACCCCGTCTCTACCAAAAATACAAAACTTAGCCAAGAATGGTGGTGGGCACCTGTCATTCCAGCTACTCAGGAGGCTGAGGCCTGAGAATCGCTTGAACCCAGGAGGCCAAGGTTGCAGTGAACCAAGATCGCGCTACTGCACTCCAGCCTGGGCAACAGAGTGACCCACCACTGTCTCAAAAAAAAAAAAAGATAATATCAGCTGGGTGCAGGGGCTCATGCTTGTAATTCCACCACTTTGGGAAGCTAAGGTGGGAGGATCACCTGATCCTTCTAGGAGCTCTAGACCAGCCTAAGTAACATGGTGAAACTCATCGCTACAAAAAATACAAAAACTTAGCCAGTCTTGGTGACGTGTGCCTGTGATCCCAGCTATTCAAGATACTGAGGTGGGAGGATCACCTGAGCCTGGAAAGTCAAGGCTGCAGTGAGCCATGATTATGCCATTGCACTCCAGCCTGGGCGACAGAACAAGACTCTATCTCAAAATAATCATAATAATATATATATAAATAATATCAAATAGACTTACACATACACATTATCTCAAGGGGCTCTAGGAACGGAACTGCGGCAGAAGGAGAAAGGGAGTGGTGTCCCTGACGGTGACAAATGTGCAAAAGTGGCCAGAGTCAGTGAGGCAACACATTAATCCTGGACCTTGCTTCCCGTATACTAAACATACAGTCATCTTCCCCCATAAAGGCACGGGGACATTCTTTTAGAAGAAACTCCACACATAAGCACATTTTTTTAAAGTCCATTATTTCCATAAAACAGAAGACTAACAAAGAGAAAAAAAGGTTAAAGAGAGTTTTACTTTTCAATCTAGCTGGTATAGCAAGAATGCCTCATTCAAATCCTCTTAATCTGGAGTACCCTTTGTATACCGGAAATACGCCGTATCATTATTATGAAATTAAAAAATTTAATGTCATCTTCCATGCAAGTTTTGGAACTTAATTCTCTCTGTATTAAGATGCAAAAATTTAAGACTCCTTCAACATGATTATAATCCTATACCTTGCTCCTGAGTTTACAAACTTAATACCTATCATATATTTATGTAATTAAGACCACCCTGAATTATAACTGTACTTTGTACTTATGCCTCACTTTATAATTCTTAAAAAAATACAATAACATTGGCCAGGCACAGTGGCTCATGCCCATAATCCCAACACTTTGGAGGCCAAGGTGGCAGATCGCTTGAGCCCAGACGTTCAAGACCAACCTAGGCAACATGGCAAAACCCTATCTCTACAGAAAATTTAAAAAATTAGCCAGTGTGGTGGGGCATGCCTGTAGTCCCAGCTACTTGAGAGGCTGAGGCAGGAGGATCACTTGAGTCCAGGAGGTCAAGGCTGCAGTGAACCAAGATCACGCCATTGCACTCCAGCCTAGGCAACAGAGCCAGAC